CGCGTTCGTTTGTTTGTTTGTTTGTTTGTTTGTTTGTTTGTTGTTAACATTGACAACGAAAATTAGCCCACTTCTGATTGTTCCATAGATCTGAAATTCGGCATGCAGGCTATTTTCGCCTAACAATTTCAGATACAATCATAAAAATTAGTAATTAGGGACCTAAATTAGTTTAATTGAGTAAAGTATATATATAGTATATATATAGTATGACGTGCGGGCGCTTTCACCATCAAATTTCCAAAATTTAAGTGTTGTGTGCTTTTTGCTTTAATCATAAATCTGCCCGACCCACGTTTTTTTGGGGCGAACCATAATTTATTTTCTACTTTTTAGTCCACACGAAAAACGTGGTTTTTTAAAAAAGTTTTTTTAAGTATTTTATTCTACTTTTTAGTCCACAAGAAAAACGTGTTTTTTAAAAAGTTTTTTTAAGTATTTTATTCCTTTATTGATATGATATTACCATATTCATTAATTACCGTATTATTAATGTGATATTACTGTATCCATGGACGTGCCCTTGAGCATTAGCAAGAACCTTGTCCACTGTAAGCTTCATATCAGCCGCCATATAGTATTTCTTCTGTATCTGTAAGCTTACAGGATGGTTTGTAATTTTGCACAATTTTAATCAAGTCTAGTGATTTTGTTTTAGGCTGAGGCATGCAAATTCTGTCAATAAAATTTTAACACCAACAGCTGTCAGCAAATTTTTTCAAGCAAATTTTTTAATATGGCAAATATTTTTTTTTCTAGACTTGAGCAGGAGTAAATTTTCAAAAAGATTATTTTTTAACATTTTTTCAGGGAATTCTTAGAGCTAGTTATCTACAATTTCTTAACTTTCTCTATGCTACATAGTTAGGAAAAACATTGAAGTTTAGGCCACTATTTTCTAGTATTGCTACATTTCAATTAGTTTTGCTGCTATAATATTTTTATGCCATGACCAAGGACTGTCCCTATTTACTCCGCCCTTCCCTTATTCCCCTTTTGAGGGTATTTGTAGTTTTAGTGCCTAACATTCAATGTGGTTAAATCAATCAATTACCTACTGGTATTCTTTGAACAATACCATTGATTCCATATTGAATGACAATAAATGGATTTTGTAGGTATTTTATGAATCCCTATTCCACACACAAATGATAATTTCCATAAATCACAAACGTTTCATGAACAAATACACTTCTGAAAACTAAACTTATGTAGTCAAGGGAGTCTTTGGAATAACTAAATGGTTAATTTTTAGTATTTAGGTATAAGAGTAATATTGCTGTAAGATTTGTATCAAAAAACCTTGTTGTTTTTAACATAAGAGATAGATACCAGTAACATAAGAATGTTTTTAATATAAAAGAAATATGCACATCTTTGGTAATAAAAATGTGCCCTCACTCACTCACTTGGCAACTGCTGACTCAAATGCACATGTTCAATTTTAATGCACATATTCAATTTGTCAAACTTTGATTTTTGGATTGAAACACTGGCCTTTGTGGATTGAAATTAATATATGAACCACAATTTTTAGAATTATATCCTGCTTTGTGTCTCACCAAAGATTGCCATGATTGAGTCTCACCAAAGATTGTCATGATTGTCTCTCACCAAAGATTGTTATGATTGCCTCTCACCAAATATTGCCATGTTTTTGTCTCACCAATAATACAAAAAATAAAACAGCAAAAAGAAAACGTGTCAAGACAACGTAATGATTATCCAAAATGATCTTGCTAAAACTTTGCGCAAGCACAATTTTAGCACATGGCACTGAAAGTTCTATCAAACGCTTATGGCTACTTTGATCTGTCTGATTTTTGGTAAGAGATGGAGAAAAACATAGGAAACAAATCCTGACCTTCCAAAATTTTTTAACTCAATTACTTTTCGAGTTACAGCCATTCAAAGTTGAGTATCATTTTTTTGGGACACCCTGTATATATGGATTTGTCATTTAGAAGATAGCCCGATACTGTACCAGGAGTGGAAAATATCTACCGGTAAATCTTTAATAGTTCTGCAGGATCTATCTGACCTCAGTTAGCACTCCCTGTGTTTGCAACAAGTTAAACTCTTCAGCTTTATCTGACTCCAAAAGATCTCAGTGTAATAATTGGTCAGTGTTTAAGGATACAAAACTGATTCACATTAATTATTTCCTTCATTTCACTCAAATCTTCAAGCTCCCCTAAAGTTGGTAATCAAATTAATTATTGTTGCTTTTTATTTGCTATTGCGAAAATCTATTTTGAATCAAAAGAATAAACCTTGACAGTAAACAAGCTACAGAAATGTGTTGCACAAAAAAATTTAGAGATCACAAATAAATATTGGACTGCCAAAATATTTAACACAAATTAGACTCTACAAACTCCAAAAATTCAAACAAATGAAGTCGTACATCTACCTGCCAAGCCACAACCTTAGCTTTCTTGCCATTTTTCTAGTTATGAAAAATCTGCTAGATAAATTACCTACTATCTTAATACCAGCTAAAAGGCACAATCAGGCCACAAGATTGCAAATGTATTGAAAAGTATTAAATTTGGAGCTGCAAGATTTCAGTAATATGTAAAATTCTAATCCTCTACTGCACACTGTTCACAGTCTGCACTGGCCACTTGTCGATACAAATTTTAAAATACTGGTTAGAACTAGGGTTTGTATTGATTGAAAACCACATAATAATATAGAGTCTCAAAACTTAGCCAGAAATGTGTGGTTCAGTTTTGTTTATGGAATATTTTTTAATAAAATTATTATTGATCTGATATGCAGCATTTGGCAATTTTGTTGCCAAGACAAGGTTTTTAAGCCCAAAATCAATAGTCACTAGTATATGTAATATTCAAAATTTGTCACCAGAATTTATCACATAAACAAGCTTGATTTCTAAATAATCAAATAAAATACTTAAAAAAACTTTTTAAAAAACCACGTTTTTCTTGTGGATTAAAAAGTAGAAAATAAATTATGGTTCGCTCCAAAAAAACGTGTGTCGTGCAGATTTATGATTAAAGCGAAGAGCACACAACACTTAAATTTTGGAAATTTGATGGTGAACGTACAGCCCGACCCACGTTTTTTTTAGCGAACCATAATTTATTTTGTACTTTTTAGTCCACAAGAAAAATGTGTTTTTTTTAAAAAGTTTTTTTAAGTATTTTATTTTCTACTTTTTAGTCCACAAGAAAAACGATTAAGACTCGATTAAGTATGACTTGACGTACGTATCGATGATACGCAGCGTCAGCGCCTGCTCGTCTATAACGTGAGCGCCCGCACGTCATACTATATATATACTATATATATACTTTACTCAATTAAACTAATTTTGGTCTCTTATTACTAGTTTATATGATTGCATCTGAAATTGTTAGGCGAAAATAGCCTGCATGTCGAATTTCAGATCTCTAGAACAATCAGAAGTGGGCTAATTTTCGTTGTCAATGTTAACAACAAACAAACAAACAAACAAACAAACGCGAAGCTAAGCTAAGAAAAACGTGTTAAAATATATTCTTTTTATACATACTTGATAATTGAAAGAAAAGAGATTTTTTTGCTAATTTTTTTTGCTAAATCTGCCAACCCATCTGTATTACTAGTTTATGCACATGATAGTGGTTTTTGGGAGGATTTGGTCTTATTTGAGCAGTCTCAAAAAGTGGGAAAGTGTTTTAATGATGCACATAAATAGAAAAAATTTTTTAAAAGTGTGAACACTAAGTACCTGGATAGCTTAAATATGTATATACCACATTGCCACTGCAGCTAACATTGCTGAACTTGATTTTTTTACAGTTTTCATGACCAGCTAATACTGGTAGTATGAAAAATAATGAAATAATCCAAGGAATTGAGCTGGAAATTTTTTAATTCATTAACTTGTTTTTTAATAGATATAGGTATAAATTAAATCAGTCTGCACCATTGAAATTTTTTTGGTGATTTAATTTTCATTCAGAACCAGCTGTTTTTTTTTAAATGTATCTATTAGTCTAAAAAATATTTATGTGCTGACTTGGGAGAGATTTTCTTGACTTCTGCATCCTGCAATATCAGATGAGGATTAAGCTGGCAACTTTTTTATATGTAAAATCAGTGACATGGGTAATTGCTTGCAAGGAAATTCTTCTGATTACAATTCTTTGATTGGTGGAGAAAGCAATGCTGCTGAAGAAATGCAAGAAGCCCCAGAAGAGTCTGAAGAACTTCCTTCTTTGCCCGCAAGCACCATAGCTTCATTGGTCAGTAACAGCAATGTCGTGGTTAAATGCTTCATGTGTGTGTTGGTTTGCTTCCTTGTACTTGGCAATTAAGATAATAGAAATGTGTTATGTGATTTATGGGTGGATATTCAATTCTAATATTAAATTACCCTCATAGTAGGCTGTTGCAATACTATAAAAAGAAAGATTATATTGCAAATTTTGAAGAAGTGCTCACCTCAAATCTTATCAGCATTCAGTAATAATATTCATAAGGCTTAGTAATTCTTTAATCCTAATCATTCTCTCGACCATTAGGCTTTTAATAATTAATAATTTAATACCAGAAATTCCATTGCTGCTTCAGCAATTAGGAGAAAAGAGTTGTATAAATGCTGACTATTGTCAAAACATCTATATTCTTGAGCTAAAAATACATTTGTGTCCTTTAATAATCCCGATTTGTACCAATTATTAATCCAATCTAATTAATAATACAGTGCAAGCAATCTTTGAATGCTTGCACTGGATATTCCTGCATCAGTTGAAATTCACATTTGTCTGTGAACTTGATCAACATAAAATTAACTAAAATGATTTCAGCCATCCCAAATTGCTTTCAACAAATCTTAATTATCAATTATTTCACTTTAAGATGAGTCAAGAGCCAGTAGAACCACAGGTTTTGTTGCTTTACTGCTTTCATCTTATCTTGTGCTGGTTTGTGTGTTGCAGTAGATTTATTCATCCTTCATTAATCTAATAAGGGTTTCTCTTTTTCTACAGTTGAGATACATATACTTATAAAATAATTTTCATAATAATGAGCTTAAACTGTATTGCCTTGCTCATAGGATTTAGGTTTTATCTAACAATGCAATTACTTTGCCCTTGAATTGCCTGTATTTTGTTTGTGTGAAATGCTACCTCAATCTGCTGGCTCTCCAATGGATTGTGATGAGCCTGGTACCAATGAACAGTCCATGCCACCCGATATTTGTCTCAAGTCATCAATGAAATTCTCCCTAAATCATAGTCAGGACTTTGGCTCTCCTCCTTCTCCTCGCTCTTGCCCACCTCAACAAGAACAAGATGCATATTCCCTTATTAAAGAAAATATGGACATTGTGAAAGAAGATGCATTTGATCCTACATTCACCTCATCGGACCTTCTACAGTCAGCATGCATCAGTGATTGCAGTGATGTTCATGATCATGCTGATATAGCTGAAAGTCTCCCAGACTTGTGTGGTGGAGTGGATTCATCTCGAACTTGTTCAGTTACTTTGAAATCCTCTCCTGAAACTGAGGGAAATCTGCAAGCTTCTTCTAGCAGTTGTGATGGCATGATGATGCCTACAAGTGATTGTCAGCATGGAGCAAAACCTAAAATATTCAAGTATAGCAACTTGAACAAGCCTAAAAAGACTACTGGGAAAATTCAAAATAGTCCAATTATGATAGAATCATCTAAAGTTGTCATGGAGACTCAAAGAAGTGAATTTGCCAGTCCTGTGCATCCTAAGACTAGTTTATCTTTGCCACATAAAATCTGTGATTCTACTATAGAAGAAAAAGTTTCTAACTCTCATGCTGCTGTGGATAAACGAAATGAATTCCATAGTTTAGATAATGATATTGATATCAGTTCAATGAAATGTGATGATAAACAGACTCCTGATCTCACTTCTGGCTACACTCATTCCAATGAAACTGAAGACTTTGCAATGCCAGTAGATCTTCTTAAGAATGAAGAATCAGCTTCTTCTTTTTTAATCACAAGCAATGCCCCCAGTGATTGTGGGGATGACCATTCCTGTGTTCAAATTAATGATTTAGTGGATTCTGATGCCAAGGATGAAGATGGCATTCCCAGTCTAATGGAAGACTATTTGTTGTATGACAGTCACCCCATAAGTTTGGTTGCATGCGGTATCTGGGACTGTGATAGTCGCCAAACACAATCTGAGTGCAGTGATGGTGCTCGGAGTGGTCTGTTGCTGGTGAGCAACAACCTTCGCTCTGCCAGCCATCCCATGTTTTCTCGGTGGCCATGTGAGGCTTACATTCCATCTCACATGCTCATAGAAGTGGCATTCAACTCGCATGGGTCATCATTAGGAGTCTCAGCAGTACGTGTTTGCTTTTATTTCCATACTGATTTCATTTTCTTCATTGATGCTTGTGGTTGGTTTTGTTTTTCTTTTCATATATAATTTTGGTCTAATATTAGCTTTTAATTACTCTTTGTTTTTGTCTGGCAATAAAATAGTTATAATATAATCAGATTTACCATATACATTGGCATATACATTGGTGAAATGTGTATTTAAATGATTATTTTTTTTTGTTTTCAAAAATCATACATGCTTAGTGAATTTTTGCCATTCAATTTTTTGCTGCAAGAACTTGCCTCTCTTAAATTACTGTTAGTCTCATACTATAGCATTTTTGGTGCCTCATCAAAGCACTGTAATATTGCAGTTGAATTGTTTTAGTATATCAATGTACCAAAATGCCCTTTTCTATTATTACCATCATGTGCAAATGTTCCAATATTTAAATATCATGTGTTTTATTCCCATTCCTTTTTCACCCTTGAAAAAATAAGTGCCAATTATTCTTGAAATTTCACTTGACATTCTTTTCTCCTTCACATTGCCTATTCCTTCAGTTTGCTATCTTCATTCTTTCTATTTGTGTAAAGTGATTTTGTGTACTTTGTAAAATCAGCTCTGCGCTCAAGCTTGCACATTATTTCCTATGTTAACAGGTTTCCAGTTCACCTTCTCTCCACCTTTTTTTATTTGTTGTTTTCCCTGAATTAGTTTTGTGTTTTTTTTTTGATGGGCAGGGAGTTTATTCCCTTGTTTTGTAGCTATTATCATTAATGCTTCCTTTTGCATCTTTGTTTTTCCCTTCCTTTGCTGTGTTCCTCTAATTACATGTTTTCTCTTACCTCCTATTTTCTTGCAGTTTTTTGTTTCTTCCTCATAGATATCAATTTAGTCTTGTACAATTTTAATTTGAGATTTGATTACTGTTTTAAGACAGTTTTGCACATGTTGGGATGTATAATTATATATATTTATAAAGTTTTATGAGTTTTTAGGTTGCAAGAAATTATATCTGGGCTCTTGAAAGAGCAGAATTTTTGTGACTACCTGGCTTTTCATTTATATTTGATTGCTTGATCTACTTTAATGTATAGAAAAAATATTATTCAAAGAATGAAATTTCTAATTACATTTCTGAATTTTAATGAGCAAATAATAAACTAAGAAATGTTGGTTAGAAATTTAAACAGCTAAGAAATTGGAATAGAATGGTTGATATTATTTTTTGATCAATTTGAACCTTATAATTGAAAACCAGTGTCTTACAAAGAACTCTATTTGAGCAATTGCTCAGTTACATGTTTTTGTAGCCATTCAATTTCATAAAAAGATGACAGTCCCACAATGCATCAGTATTCTTGCTAATGAGGAAGAAAGGTAATGATGCATGAAATTTTAATTTGACCAATATAATTTGATCTCATTTGATAAGTTATCAGTTTATATTATAAATATGAAATATGTTTTCAGGAGGGTGGAAACCACCATATTTATGGCATAGCTCTGGGCACCTCGGCAGCTGCTGATGACTCAGAGGCACAGGCACGAGAGAATGAACAAATGAAGCTTGCTAAGCGCATGGGTCTCATCCACCACCTTCCCCAGGGCACGGTTGATGCTGGGACCAGCGTTAGAGAGTGAGCATTTATTCTGTAGGCATCTTACCCATTGTATCGACCTACTTAGCTTCCTTCTTACGAGAAATTAACCCAAATTGTTTTCAAAAAAGTGATTAGTGGTTAAAATATTTTTGAGGCTTCTTATTTTTGTAGAAAACATTTGCTGAACCAACCCTTTGAAGCTGATTGTGAATGAAATGAATACAAAAATTATTTGTATGAATTGGATCAAAAATGTGAAACGTAATTGCCTGAAATTATCTAGAGTTTACGTATAAAATCAGGTTTTTTATTTTATTGCCTATAAAGACCAAACATGAAATGAGGTTTGGTTTTTGATTTTCCAATGCTTTGAACATCTTGTGCAGCCACCATGTTTGCAGGAGCCTTCATGATCTAAATTTGACTGTCATATGCAACTGATGCGGGATGCTTTGCAGGTGCGTTATATGTATGATGGATCTGATTGAGGGCGAGAAGGTTCGCTACTTGCCCTGCATGCACGTGTACCACACGCATTGCATAGATGACTGGTTCCAGCGCTCCTTCACGTGCCCCTCGTGCCTAGAGCCTGTGGACGCGGCCCTCCTCAACACCTACAACACCACGTAGCCTGTGGACGCTGCACTTCTCAACACCTACAACACCACGTAGCCTGTGGACGCTGCACTTCTCAACACCTACAACACCACGTAGCTTGTGGACGCGGCCCTCCTCAACACCTACAACACCACATAGCTTATAGAAGCAATGTTCCTCAACACCTACAACACCACATAGCTTGTGGAAGCGATGATCCTCAACACCTACAACACCACATAGCTTGTGGAAGCGATGATCCTCAACACCTACGACACCACGTAGGTTGTGGAAGCTGCACTTCTCATCAATTACAACCCAATTCTGCCTGTGCTCAATACCTCCGAGACATTATAAATACGTATATTTTTCAAGAAATTGCCAAACTCGAGCTAATTTTGCTGACCTTCTCGATTGTTTACCATTTTTGTTCATCCCAAATCATAACACTGGCCACATAATTTTGGTGCATATGTCTACTGCCTTCAAAACTACATCTCTCATTCGTTTCTGTTTGTGTAATGAAATTTCTAAATAGCTCAAAAATTGAAAATTCCAGCCTATAAAGGTACAATTCCCCAATTACCTTACCTTCCAACATTCAGGACTGTTTTGCAAACAGCACTTTACCAATTTGACGCATAAAGTTCAGTTTCGATGCAAAGATAGTTGATTCTTGCTTTGATATCAGGTTTGAACGAGGCTCCTGTTAACTCCTGCAGAAGCTCTAGTACTGCCTGGATATGTAGCCCTGTTTGTAGACTTGGCAAATATGGCGTACATGCAAGTTGTTAAAGCGACCATTCTTGCTTATGTTCAGCCTTCCAATAAAGTTTTACACGGCCATGTTTTCATGACTGGGGAACTACACCCCTTGTTTAAAGCACTCCTGCGTCTTGGTGTTACAATTGGTACCCTGTATGAGCTGAGCTTCCGGAAATATTCACTACTCATTTTAAGATAAATGTTAAATACAACGCATGGATTACACGTTTCTAGAAACATCAATACAGCCTCTGTGTATTGTGTATGCCTCATCTCTGTTAAAATTTGTTTATGTGGTATTCCGAATCACCGCAATCTCGCCTTAGACTCGTGTATGTGCCACGCCGGCCTGGCAACCAAGATTTGCTACAGGATTTTCTTCAGTGCTGCGAATGAACTTCACTTCCACGTCTGCCAAATAACTTCGCTTAAGTGCTGCTCTCACGTTCTGAATTCTTTCTTTATTTGTATGCAAAAATCACATTCTGCTATTGAGTTGTCAAACGGTTTGACCTAACAATTTCTATGGATTAGTTTGTGAATGTCCATAATTATTTTCCTAGATCTGCGATAGATTTGACGTGACTCATGTCAACAAATTATTTCTCACAATGCTTTCTGTTTCAGTGTATTTCTTAGAACCCCATTTACTATTCATTTCTGGAATCGTTAACCCCAGAACCTTGTTTACTCAGAACCCCCAGTGTTACTATTAGATTTCCTCCATTAATGTGGACATGGATTTATTAAATTCATCACCTTAAATCATATTCGTTTGTCATAATCGAGTGGTGCGTTTGGAATGTCAGCCACTACCTGAATTCTCTGATGGATCTTTCTACAGTTTGTAGGACTTGTATTTAGATCTGTGTTGTGGTTTAGATCAATGATTTGTAGGCTCGTTTTCCTTTGAGCCATTTCCCTCTATGACTTTTAGACCTGCTTGACGCATGGCTATGCTAGCATTTCTCTTCTAGTGGTGAAATGCAAGTCTCCAGATCCTTCCAGTTTTCTTTTCCTCTCTATCTACTGACTGTAACTTTAGCTTACAGTTCTCTAGAAAACAATAGTATTGAGACGTTTAATGCATCCGCAGATAAAAGATTAATGTTCATGAAGCTTTTCGGTTGCAGCGGGCTGCACCAGACACAATATTAAATCCAATATTTTCTCTAATGAAGTTCATGGACCGAAAACAATTTTCTTATTTGCATCTTGTTGAAGGCCTTTGTGTGTGCTGCCGTTCGCATTTTAGTTTCTATTCTGTCTTCTATTAATGAAGCCCAAGGCATTTGGATAATGGAACCAAACTACATGGGTATTTTGATGTTACGGTATGTAATTAGCAAGCGAACATAGCCAGTTTAATACTTTTATTCCGTGTTTAGATTTCCTAACTCATAGTGCTCTTGCTACCGCAGTTAACTTCTTAGATACATCGTATTTGTTCGGTACAATTAATTTACATTCTGCCTGGATAATTATGTTATGGAATCGAGCTTGGCATCGCGACTGTGGCAAAAACTTCAAAATGTGATTTTCTTTTATTAATATAGATATATGTTCAAAGTGAGTATTTCCTTGGAAATTAACTAGTAAAACATGTTTAAATTGACACAATTTTCTTTTCTTCTAACAACACCACACCAACGTTGTTTTTGTACAATGTATGTCCTTCATTCTGTACTTATATATCTTGTATATAATAGCATTAAGGTGAAAATGGCTTGTACGGCTTCTTAGGATTTGTAGGATGTTTAGATGTTTCTAAACTTCTAGGCTTGAATTTCTTTCGTAGATGCCACCTTGGATTTCCTTTGCAATTTGAATGGAAGCTATACAGCTTTGGATTGTTTGCTTTTTTCTGATCTTTTTCAGAAAAATTTCCTGACAGTTTCCGACGTTTTACTTCTGGCATTATTTGCAGCCACGATTTGTTTTCAATGTTATTTGAAAAATTCTTCAAATAAAATCGTCCCTTTTCAAGGAAAACAAGTTTGATTAGTTACATCAGAATAATCTAGATTGATTTAAATTGTAAACGTTGTACACAAGTCCATGTCATCGGTCTGATGTATATGACAAAATGGAAGTCTTGCGACGACGCTGTTTTTTAGTCAGGTTCATGATGAAATTTTGTTTTTAAGTGCGTTTTGAATACTTGCAGTCCCTTCACCTGCTGCAAGTCGCTTTTGTAGTACTCGTGTTGACATTTTATTGAACACTTGAAGAAATGGTCGTGATTCCACTGCTTGTTAACGCATTATGGGGAACAAGCATCCTAGTGCACCGATTTCAGACCCTCTTCGGTAATCATATTGTTAATTTAAAAAATAACCTAGGCTTTTAGGTCACCACATCGTCATCAGGGTGCTACTCTCTCCTTAATTCGTCTATGTATAAGTTACGTTGCAATATTCTTGTTAAACTCTGAACGCTTTATTTTTAATATGTCTGAAGGGTTGGTGCGGTAAAGAAAAAATATTTATGAGCGAGGGAAGACCGTCTCGTGAGTCGTGATTGCTTTCGTTTGAATGGATGTAATGAATTTGATTTAATTGGAACGTTCAATGGTGTATGTAAAAATTAGGGCGTGAACGGGTAGATTTATCAGTATCAACAAGTGAAAATACAACAATATATTTTTTTATTACGCATAGATTCTGAAGTTTTTCATTACTAAAGTTATCTTCATAACAGATGTCTATACTTCTTTCTTTCCAATTCAAATGGATTGCATTCATTACTTAGGATTTTACTTGACTGGAAAAATTGTGTTGAGGTACGTATCTGTTGTTAACTGTTGCGCTGTCTTCAATTTCAGAAGTTTCCACTATAATCCATGTATGCTCGTTTTAATGCAGGGTGGTGGCAGTGTTGTTTCGCCAATTATCATGGTTTGTTTCTAGATTTGATTTTCGCAACCTTAACCACGATGGTTTTATTATTGTTCGTAGCACCGTATCAACTGTAGTCATTATTTATAGGCTACTAGTCATAACTGTGTCTCGTAGAGCTTCACGTTGAAGGCTTGGTTGTGGTCGTGAAAACGCGTGTATGCAAAGCGGAAAACTGGCAAGGTATTGCCACACTATTTGATCCCATTTAGAATCTCGCCCGAAGGAATAGGCTTTTTGAACAACCCGCCCTCCTTCTCACTCCTGTATTGATTTCATATTGAACTCAATACCATATCTGCGTTTGAAGTCTATATTCTGGGTGTTTCTTTTTTTCAGCAAAGTAGTTGTTGTTCAACTCTCCCGTGGGGATGGAATTTTGGCGACTTTCGCTATTGCTCACTGTGAATTTTTTTCATATTTCAAAGCCTTTTTGCACTTGTCTTGATAATTTTTATTTCTTATTTTATCTTTTGTCCTATCCGCACGCTATTTCAAGGGTTCTTTCCGATTATCTTGTTTTCTATTGATACTTTGGCTTCCTGGAAATTTTTCAGTTGTTGCTTTAAAGTTGTCGTAGTCACAACCGTCACTCGTGAATTTTGTTGTATTGATGCAGGTACTATTATTTTAATTGCAGATTTAGTTATGTGATGCGTGCTCACTTAATCACTTGTCGCTGTAGCATGTTGGACCAGTCAAGTTCATGTTAGAGTATATAATAAGTGAGAGTTATTGGCTATTTACGTTATCAATTGAGTTCCTAATTTGTTCTCGAATTATTTTAATAAGTAGAGTTTTTATAACTTTGTGCTGAGAACACTTTTCTGCTGCACTGTGTCAGCGCTCACTGCAGTGCTACAATATATCCTGTGTATCCGCTGCTATATCTACGATGGACAAGAGGTTTTTGAACGAGTCATAATACGAAGATGAACTCTTCCACTTGCCCTTCAGTTATACCTATCATAATTTCTCAAATTTATGAATCAGTGAATAATTTTGTACTAACAATAACAGTAATATTTTTCATTCCTCGACCTGTGAGCTGCAAAATACAAAGCCAACTTGGCAAATCGTTATAAACAGTCATGATTTATTAACGTTTGTCATGTATTCACACGTCATGTTTAACAGTTTTAATTGAAATTATATTATCTATCGTTTCAAGTTGCGTTCTTGCAACATTCGTGATGGTGGCTGTCGCTGATTTACAGTTTATAAGTCAGGAGGATTTTAATCTGTTGATTGTGATACATAGTTTACAGGACATTTGCTTCACTTATTTATATCTAATACAAGGAATGTTGGGTCAGTTGGGTCTGCCTTGTAGGCTGATTGGTTTTGCTCTGTTTAGTTTGTCTGATATGTCCGAGGATTAGAAAGAAATCATTCCAACTAAATTAAATCTTTGACGTCACACGACCATGCGATGGAAATATATCTCATTTCTTGAATAGTTCATTTACTCTTTTCTCTGCTGACGATAAATAATTTTTTCAAGTGATCTTTTTGTGTAGATGCAAAGTGTAAATGTTGACGATCGTTAAGGCGATCAACGACGATCACGTTCTCTTGCAAACACCTAAATAAAGTAAAAATTTTATTACGAGCTACGTGCTGCTCGAGACAGGCTGGTTCTGTTCGCATGTTCTTAATATCCTCTGCAATATGATCTGCTACACTTTGTGTCTTTCATTTGCCCTTTTTGATCTTAAAAAATCTGAATTTTGGTTATTTTTCAAACACTTCTCTGCTAGATTCTTGAATTGCTGATAAATGTGCGACTCGTTAACGAACCTTTGCGACATTTAGAGATTTCTCATTTTATTCTTATTGCAGACTGACGAGAGATTCTAAAATTTATGCATTTTTAAATTATTTCCACTTTGTAAACTACAGCCGTCATCAACACAATACAGACGATTGAACGATCAGACTCGTCTTCGAAAGTTGCCACTAGATGAGCAGAGTATTGCAAGGCAGTAATAACACTACGTTAAGGTGTTAATTATGCGCAACAATTCTAAAAGCTTTCCTATAGTAAAACTTTAATGAATCTTTTCGTCTAGGTAGAGGTAATCAATCCCGAAGATGAATTCCTACAATGATGACAAAATCATTGGGAATCTCCGTTAGATCAACGAAGGTCAAGTAGTCAATTTGTCTTGCACAAGCTTCATGTATTGATAGCATTAGATATTATTTAAATGTCTGTCGAGAGCGACGACGATGATCCTAGGTATCAATGATTACAGAAGTGATGACAACTATACGTAGACTGTACCAGTAGTTCAGCATTTTAATTTTATACACGATCTGTTCATTAAAATGTCTCTCCTAATATTTCACACTGATAGTTAACTTTATCTCATAAGATTTAAAACGGATGGTTCCTTCATCTCCAATCATTGATAATACGAACGATCAGGAATTTTTACCAGTGAACTTTTAGACAGTAACAAAATTATTCTTCAACATGTTATTTTGCCAAGTTAGTCGTTTTGGTAATAAAGTCGACTAAAAATCATAAGTTTGTGTGCACATCACGACGCAACTCAAGGCATGTAGACGGCATGAAGAGCTCTGGGTGCGTCGGTGGCGAGCGTGAAGGAGGCGGACGCTATGTCGCTGAGGTCGGCAGCGCTGAGCAGCCACAGCGACACCCGCCGGCGCTCAGCGTGCACGCAGTGCACCAGCAGCACACCGTCGTCCTCAGCCTGCCATACCGAGGAATGCATTGAATATTTTACATTTAATTATTATGTACTACTTTTTGTCATGGAATTTATTGGATACTAAAAATACCACGCAGTGCACCAGCGGCACACCGTCGTCCTCAGCCTGCCATGCCGAGGAATGCATGGAATATTTTACATTTAATTTTTATTAATTATTATTCAAAACTTTTTATGACGGAATTTATTGAATACTAAAAATACCACGCAGTGCACCAGCAGCACGCCACCGTCCTCGGCTTTCCACGTAACCGTTGAATGACAAGTTTAAGAAAGTAATTTTCTATAAATAATACGCAAATTGATATTTGCGAATGTTGAGCGTAATAAGTTATGGTTGACGCCGCAAATTATTTTGGAAGAGGTTATTCAGATATGTGAAGTCTCAGATGTTTGGAAACTTTCTTTGTCTTTGCACGATTGATTTAATCCATAGAATATTTTGCAATTTTTTGACAATTCACCGCAGCTCCTGAGCGTGAGACTCACCGTAGCTCCTGAGCGTGAGACTCACCGTAGCTCCTGAGCGTGAGACTCACCGTAGCCCCTGAGCGTGAGACTCACCGTAGCTCCTGACCGTGAGACTCACCGTAGCTCCTGACCGTGAGACTCACCGTAGCTCCTGATTGAGCGTGAGACGCACCGTAGCTCCTGACCGTGGGACTCACCGTAGCTCCTGAGCGTGAGACGCACCGTAGCTCCTGACCGTGGGACTCACCGTAGCTCCAGGTCGAGGAGCGAACGCAATACTGGCGGCGTAGACGTCGTCTGGCGCGTCCCACCGCGTTACTTCGGCGGTCCTGACATTCACTTTCCCCACCTGCGGAAATATTTCCGGAAATGAAGACATGCAAACAAAAAAAAACTTTCAAATTAAAATAAATAAAAAACAGCCGCAACAAAATTCTGGTCGCATTCTTAGCCTTGCATCGGTAATTGATCAAATTTAGATAATGATCATAGAGACCATCCGATCACCATGGGAATGTTGCATCTACGGACTTGTGAAAGAAGATATTATCCAAGTTACGTTCGAGAAAATAAACCTCAATTGCACCAAGAATATTTCCCCCCCAAAAATTGGTGCAATATTATATAGTGAACAGAATTTAATGCTATATAGGTTTAAACACAAAACTATAGATTATTAAGAAGCAATATGTTCAATTTAGAGCTTGAAAAATGCTCCAAAGCTTTAGATCATATTAAATAAAAATAATGACTAAGATGGCATACACGAATTTAGTAGAGAATGTTACACAAAAAAGTTTAACTTCCTTTCATTGCTGTCGAAAGCAAAGTATCAGCGTGAACTTCACCGTGACTGCGAGGTAATTTTGCCCTTCACATATAGTGCAGGATAACAAATTATTGCGACAGGAAGGTAATACCGTGCGTTCAAGTATATCAGCCCGTTTGCGAAATTGTCAAAGGATATTACGGTCCAATCTACAACCACACTTGTCTACATCTAATCTACATACTAGACTTTTATATACAGCAATTGACCGTCATTCTTTCAACGTTGCAGCGTATAAATATGCATAAGTTTCTGTTGCTCCAACAGCAATTGCACAATTTTACTGCAATTTATTATTACTTCAACAGCCCCGAGTCAACAGCGATTGCACTTAATGTCATTCACAATGAAATAAAAGAATCAAATAATTAAACATAATTTCGACAATTTTATAGTAAAAGTGCACCACTCACTGAGGCCTTATTGGACGTCATGTCTCCCGAGATGCCATAGAAGAAGTTGTAAGGCTTGCGCTCCATCGCAGGGTTCACCACAGGGTTTTCGTAAGCGACATCGGACAATTTCTGGTACATAAATTTAACATCGTGAAAACTTCATGGAATTACGAAACTATTGTTTTAGCACATATTGAGGATTTACATATTTTGATTTATGTGAATATTATCAGAAAAAAACCGAGGGTGTGTGAACGGCACTAAAAAGTAATAATAAGCAGTAATGTTAAAAACATGCACGTTTTCTTGTAATTAATTTCTGTAATATGAGCTTTCTACAAGTTTTTGGTCAATGGTCACTTCAATATGATACCTGAGACGTGAGGAAGATCGTTCCATCTTTTTGCCTGTGGGCTGTGGCTTGCGCTCCTGGAAGTTTGACCTGAAAAAGATATGAAAAAAAATTTGACACATAAAATAAAGCTCACACGAGGTCCGTTTCGTCTGAAAAAAAAAGAGATAATTTTCGATTGGCATCGAAGTACAGTACAGGACTAGGCTTAGAAATAACCTGTGATCATTTTGCCGTAAATAGAACTTTATTCCAAACAATAATTGATGTATCATCTTAAATTTAAACTAATATCTGACACATGCGAATGAAACCAGCACATGAAATTAGAACCAAAGTACGTATGTTATATAAGCAGACACTTTAATCTATCAACATAATGTAAAGATTTTCAAGAATAAGGTTAGAGCCTCGTCAATTCTTAATACAATTCTTATTGCAAGTAAATCTTACATTATTTCTTCACCAATAATGCTCACTAAACTCACCCTCAATATTAAAATCGAATAGGTCATATAACTAGAAAAGAATTGGTCAATGGAAGACAGTTCATGTAAAATTAAGTGATATTGAAAAATTCAAAACGCTATAGAGACCAATTAAGCATTCATAAGTAATGGTTGTGATAAATTCTAGAAAAATCTTTTAGATATTCTAGTGTAACTGGCAAAAATTTCATAAAACTCATCAAAGGACAAGAGGCAATCGTATTCGTGAAAATGAAATGGATCTGTGAATTCTGTACAGTGGAGGTCCCAGTCCTATATTACATTACCAGGCTCTGTACATTGGAGGCCCCAGTCCTCCATTACATTACCAGGCTCTGTACAGTGGAGGTCCGAGTCCTCCATTACGTTATCAGGCTCTGTACAGTGGAGGTCCCAGTCCTCCATTACATTACCAGGCTCTGTACAGTGGAGGTCCGAGTCCTCCATTACGTTATCAGGCTCTGTACAGTGGAGGTCCCAGTCTCATTACCAGGCTCTGTACAGTGGAGGTCCCAGTCCTCCATTACATTACCAGGCTCTGTACAGTGGAGGTCCCATCCCTCTATTACGTTACTATGTTTGCCAAGAATTAAGAAAACGTCGTAAATTCACTATATCTTCAATGTAAACGTTTCAATTAAAATATAAAGTGAATTGAATTGACGTTTTCTTTGTGTTTAAATTAGTGGTGAACTAGAGGATAAAGCCGAGTATAGATATAAGTAATCGATACCAGGTTTTCTTCGGGTGCCGCCTTGACGCTTTCGTTGAGCGGTACAACGTAGCGCCGAATGCAGCCGCTGTCGACCTCTCCTGCCAGAGCGCTACCTTTGGTCTGCGTGGTCAAGCACAAGGCGGCGGTTAGTGAAAAATCACTCGTATATATTATATGCTAGAAGATTACCCCGGCGTTGTCCGAGTTATAGATAATCCTAGCGATTTTTTAATGACAAATCCAGTGTTGTTCTGTATCCGTTAATAATAATGTCAATATATAATACTTGTACAATGGCCCGTTCAAACCCACATTCAAAATAGAACCTAAAACATTCATATGATTTTCGTTTCAAAATATGAAAAATGTAATTTGCGTATTTTGCGTTAATTTTTTATGTATAAAAATCCAAACAAAATCGTACGCATTCAGGGAAAAGTTGCCGCACGATTAACTGCTAATAAAGTTGAATAATCAAATCAGGGGCAAGAACCTTCTTGTTGACAGATTTCAATCATACCAACTAAACTACCAATGCAAAAACGTATTATCACACAAATATTTTCCATGTGCGCACGAAATATTTGGCGTTTCTACTAGAAATGAAACTGAGTCTGATTATAATGTCGCATCTCACCCTTAAGTTCTCCAACTTGAACTGATGCAGCAGCGAAGGAGTCTCGAAAGTCGTGACGTCGAACACCAAATGGTCAGCTTCTTCATAGCAGTTAGCGATGTGCATGTAGAAGAACGACTCGCTCTTCACCTTCAGTTTGAGCTCTTTTCCCGTCTCCAGGGACAGAATACGGTATTTCACCTGTAGATATATAATTCTTGAGATTGAAAATAAAAAATTTTCCGTGTATGCATTTTTGCCAAAAAAATTCAAAAGCATGCCGTCTACAATAATTTAAAGAAAAATGGCAGAGGCAACAGTTGGAATGTCATCATTGCAGCATATTTTATATCAATCTATAACCATCTACTGCATAATTAACTCCTTAAACGCAAGTGGAAAGCTACATTTGTGATGCCCAATTTATGATGAATACATTTATGATGCCCAAACACGCAATTTTCAACTTTTCATTAAATAAATAATTTTAGTGAGAACTTTATTGAGCATGTCTCGAAGAAACGGAATACCTATTTTTCCTTAAGCCATTCCATGCCTTTGATGTGCGGCTTATCCTTGATAGTCCTTTTATGATGAACAATCGGAGCTACATTGTGTTTTTAAATTTTTATTAAATGGATAATTTTACTAAGCACTTTACTGATCATGCGTCGATGAACAGGATTACCTGTTTATCCTTAAGCCACTCCATGCCCTCGATGAGCGGCTTGTCCTTGATGGTGTTGGCGACCATGGCAGTGACGTCGACAGTGAGCGGCTGTTCGGGCAGCAGCGCGTAGTGTTCCGTCAGACCGAAGGTGTGCATGTGGCAAGGGTTGAGCTTCCAGCGCGTCTCGCACGATGCAAGCTTCACCGGCTTCGCAAATACAGAGTCTGGCATCCGTAAAAATTATTGTGAAATTATCTAGGATCATCATGATTATTTAGTTATACGGGTACATTAGACGTTTAATCTAAGCTCATTTTGGAGGTCGATTTGAGGTATAAGCTTCATGGTAGGAGAGAGAACGAATTGTTTTTCAGTGGGTTTTACTGAATTTAGAATTTTGCAATAAAAAAATGGCCACATCGATATCAAATCAACTGGATACATCCATAGTTTGTGGCGAAGTAAGATTATTTGCTAAAAAATGTATTCGAACAATTTGCATTGTGAAGTCTGTTAAAATTAGATAACATGAACCATCTCAACGTGATAGTCAATGCATGGGTAAATGAAGGGCCCTGAAATTGGATACGCTTCTAGAAGTTGACCTAATTTAGAACATTTGGCTTGATCATCTGTTACAATACAAGTTTTTAAACACAAACAGCATTGATGGTGGTAAATGTATCAGAATATAAAGGGTCTAATTCGTGCAAGAGAAAAGTATTTACAAGAGTTATTTAAGTGTATTCTATGCCTTCAGGAGCTTTAGTTTCACCAAACTAGGAATTCATACATACATTGATAGTGATGTAATATTTCCAACTTATTTCAAATGCCCATTGGCATGCAAGTACCAATGAGTCATGACACTCAAGTTTTGAAAACTAATCAATTAGAATTTCGACCGAAATTAGACACAAACGAACAATAAATAGTGTAGATGGAATAAAAATGTGCAAGCAAATCAGGCAGGCCTTCGAGAGACACGTGGGAGGGACTTGTTTCAAGGCTGTCTTTCTCATGGATCTAAAAAATTCAAGATTTTAGTTTGCACTTTCTTACGCAATTAACGAAGACTTGAAATATATGAAGACTTGCAGGCACATCACATTGTCTCCAGCAGATCACCTGGAATAACTTCAAAGTCTTTTGGCTGTCTCTCGAACGCACATCGAAGAAATTATTGATTTTAGTTTAAGATTTCTTATGCAATTAATTAAGACTTGAAATGAAAAGAAAACACGCATGCACATCACACCTGCTCCAGCAGGGCACGTGGGAGGGAACTTGACGACCTCGTAGCGGGGGCCGAGCGGCCCGACGGCGCTATGAACGTTCACGGTGGCGCCGTCCGCTAGGGTCACGGGGTGCGGACACTGAGAGTTCAGGTTCAGTAACTTGTGCAGGTTCACCTGGTCGGGTAAGAAGAACGTATAGGATTGGAGACTCAGTCGAAAACTCAAGAATTGAAGTTGTTTACTGTTATGTACATTTAATCAGAAAATGTTCACAGTTGTCTCACACTTTGCCGTTAGCTCAAATTTTACGAGTCATGTCTCAACCATATTTATTTTTAGAGCCTAATTTAACGAAAACGATGCAGTTCAAAATTTTTCCTTACAGTTCTTGAGCACAGTACCCTAATTACATTCGTGTTGAAAAAAGACTATCTGGATTACCAGCATCTGCCAAGCACCTTTTCCCCAGTCTCGAGAGTGTCAAGGTCGATGCGGTGCAGGAACGGTGCTTCAGTTGTCGCGTAGTATGCACCACCGAAGCGCGCCAGCGTCACGGGAGGATTGTCTGAGAACATCTTGTCGAACTGGAACTTTGAGCCAAGCCTGAACAAATGGTCCAGATAGTACCGGCATGAGATTAGGTTATGTAGGATACCGAGTTACCCGTTTGTAAAAGCTCTTAAGGTCGAACAAATTAGTGATTTGCACAAAAAATTGATAAAAATTTGGCCTTGAAATTCGATAAAAATGTAAAAGTCGACACCCATTCGTCCGGACCACATGTTATGGAAAATCTTTGAACGTCAGTGTAGTCAGCGATTAGCAGGAAATTTACGCATGGTGTTTTACTTAGCTCTACTCCGCGTTTTCACTCAACCACACTAAATTCAGCACAAAGGAGTCAGAACATAGACATCATGCGTAATCGTGTGCGGGAAGATAAGGGAAAAGCCTGAAGCGAATCGAACTTACACTTGGGTATGAAATCATAATCTTTATGAAAATGGCACTAGTGTGTAGTGTCCGAGATCATACTGTCCAATGTGACTCACCTTAGTCGACAGTCTTGTTTTCCTTGATACAAAGGCCGCCCTTCCAGAACTGCTATTTGATAATCGAGGCTTTACTAAGCATGTAAAGCTCTACCTGGCCTATCCAAGGTTTGTATTTTTTATTCGAGATCATCTCCATAATTTATAACGTGCGTATCATAAATATAATTTTTCTCATACAAAATAGAAAAATTTGAGATTGCTTATAAATGACGGAAACGCTGTTTGTAGACATATATCACGGTCTATAGTAGTCTTTAGCAGAATAATTTTATTATTCTGATTAATCCTTCACCAAGCAATTCAGATTTATAAGCAGAAATGGCTCCAAGCAATTGAAGCAAAAAGCAAGTTTCAGAGTTTCGAAAATTATTTAGTAAGGCCGGCACTCTTAAACGATTCGATGGACTACCAAATCATAGCTGCAGCTCAGTTATCGCATAGGCCTAATAGCCTAGGACTGTAGGTTCCACTATTATATCCTAGCATTCGAATCCTTACTTGGACAGGAATCCTTTGGTCACTGAACACCCCCTGGTTCCGAATTCTGATACGACAATCTGTTGATGTTCAGTGTTGGTGGTGTACGCGAATGACTTGATGAACTTGCTGGTGTAAGTCATGCCGGTCTCTGAAATGGTGAACTTCTGCAACATGGCGGAGCCGTCAAACACGTGCTTGAACTCATGGTCTCCGTATTTCATGAGGCCGGGACCGTTGCAGACCAAGCTGCCCCGCAGCCATGAGGGGATAGTACCTGCAGTAATTACATGCATGCTAATAAATTACGTAGCTAAAATGAGAAGAAAGTGATGTTGTTTGTAAATAGAATCGAGGACGGACGATATTTTCTACTAGGTAGAGGAAGAAAATTAACTAGCAAAAAATATTTACACAAGATATGCACGCATGACAAAAATATTAACAACTTAGGACCTAACATCCACAGTTTTCACTTTCCTTCTTATAGAACGCATACTATTCAACACCGACGACAAACGCAAGACTAATTAAATTCGCTTACTGACGCTTAGTCGATTTTGTGGGAGCGCAGCCCTACACCACAAATTTAGCTCGTAAACAAGCCCTGACGCCAACGCCTACCCTATAATGCAATAACTAAACTCAGCTCACACCCAAGAAGTTGTAGGTAACTGAGTCATCTCCCCACACCAACTTTAAGCAACACCTACCTCACTCCACAGCCTGCTGAATCAAATAGTCAATTATTGTCAACAGGTCCTACTCCACAGAATTTTACCCATACTTTCACTTCTTACACACGCCGTAAGCCTTACTGGCCGCAGCCCGATTTTATCAGTAAGCCAAGGTCACGTCAAACTCTCTAATACAAAAATGGATTACCTGTTCAATAATTATTATAACATTAAAATTTTGCATTCGCTCGAGGAGCCAAAACCAGTGCCATCCGGGGAGAAAACCTAATCTGCGACTACATGTCCTCCTCTGACGACACTTTTTAATTCTAACCACGTCTAACCACCCTAACCTTTACCATGTACAAGGTGATTCCCGGAAAGTTCCTGACTTGAAAGCTCAATTAAAAAAAGAATTAGTAAAGATATCAATCCTATATAAACTTAATTGAAAAATATATTACCTGAATTTTTGTATAATTTAGTTTTTAAAATGACATCGGACAAATGACGGCTCCAATTGTCAATTCATTCAGTTACCGTAGTCGAGTTCCGTTCAAATCGCTGACGCATATTGACGGGTATTTTGGCGAAGCCTTGGCGTAATTTGTTCTTCAAATGACGTAGGGTCCTTGGACAGTCATTGTAAACAATTGATTAAAGATAACCCCATAAAGAATCACACAGAGCCAAATCAGGGGATCGGGCTTGCCAAAGAAGGTCCACCGTCACTCCTGAAGGAAGTATACGGAATGCTCGTCCACTAGTGGCGACAATGAAACGGGATTAGAATAAAGTATGCCTCGAGAGTAAACGCACGCATCTCACTTTCCCAAGACGTAGTTCAACTAACTAAACGGGACAAAAAACTTCATGACCTTGCCTTTCATATGAAATACTCTTCGCCTTTTTTCTAAAACATCTGGCAGCTTAGCGCGAAACAAGAAAAAAAAACAGGAAGTTTTCGCGAATCGTCCTGTATAGTCGGAAATTACACAATATTCTAATTGCCTGGCGAGCGAGTTGTGAATAGGTTTAAGAACAGATATTTAAAGAAGTATCGCGACTGGAATCCTTTTCTTATTTGATCAAGATTTCATTTTCTACAGCCATTTATATTAGATCATATGAAAATAGAGCGGATGAAAGACTACACATTTCTTAATGCTCAGTTTTGCCCTGAGATTACCTTTACAATTCTCGCTTTGAGCTTTTCATTTTCCAGGCGCGTGCAAATGCTCGCTGAAAATAGTTCATTTTCAGTCAGAAATAACACAGTGAATTGACACGCACAGTTATTCTCTTTGCATTACTAAAATGTATTGATTGTGAAATTTTATTGCTATATAATCGGTAATTATTGGAACAGAGATTCTCATTTAACAAGCTAGGGATGTGAAAGTTAATGTGTCGTTAGATATACAAGTGTCGAAGTGTGTACTCGGGTATTTCGTATATTAAAAATATTAATTTAAGGTTGCAGAAGCGACAGACCAATAAAAGATAACCTAGAGAGACAATCGAGAAATAAAAGAGCGGAAATTAATTAATCCTCTTAACTTGCATGTAAGCCACTCACGGCAGGTTACCCCAGCGATGACTTACAATTTGAATAAATTGATATGAACAAAAGAGAATCGTTGAGACATTCATGCGGAACAAAGGCGTAACGTCGACGCTGCAGGATAACTGAGCACAAGCGACATCATCACTCGTCTGCAAGTCGGAAGTGCTGCAATAGATTGGGCGCCTTCAGGCACTCTTGAGTGCTGTCAAAATACACATGCATGCAAAAGAAGCACGTGGAAACATGTGGATATTGTGAGCCGAGCAACTTATGAGCCAGAGAATTACTAGCTGCATATTCAAAGCAAGGAATCGCGGTATCAAAACCAAGAGAGAGTTTGCAGGGATGGCAAATCATTGACACTTACTGATGGCTGACTACAACGTATTTGAGGTTGAGAAACTCCGTATCAAGCACATACATACCATATGCTGGTGTAAAACGTGTTTCTGTGATTGTAAATCAAAACGCCCACAGAAGGGAGAGGTGAACGAATCTGAATTTGAGTAGATACTATGTATCAAGCAATTACAATGCAGATGTGAGGAATGAAGACGTCTAAACAAAGTTTAGAGTCTAAAATGGACATTCTTCGGGCAAATGTTTGGATTTCATAGCTAATGTGGTGAATTTTGACCCATTAACTTGGAAAGCGTAGTGGTATGGATGAATTCTGCTCAGTAATAAGTAACGCGAGCGATTGAGTGATAGATTTGACGTCTGATTTCTTTTTATTATATGAACCACGAGCTTTCAACAGCGTTTACTCCTCTGAGGTCATTAATTCTTCAAGGCATAGGCCAGTGGTTCCCAAACTTTTTCAGGCTGGCGCCCCCTTTGGCTCCCCAGTACGTGAATCATTAACGACCCCCCTTTTGGGAGTTGTATGGCGATACGGGCCGAAATTCGCAGTGATCAAAGAATTTCTTCAAAGCTACTGAACAGATTCGAACGGAATTTTGAATATAAATTCCTATCTACCAAACGGGGATTTTTAGCTCGTGAAAATTTTTTCGAGTCGGCGTCGTGTTCTGCATGTGTTTGTATACAAATCGTCAAACTTACGCTTCTGACTTCGACTTCGCGGACTGCCGCTCCCTTACTGCCCCTTTCTTCCTCACCGCCCCCTCAGGTCTTTCCACCGCCCCCAGGGGGGCGATATCGCCCACTTTGGGAACCACTGGTGTAAGCAAATGGTGTAGGCAAACATTTTTAATAGTGCTAACGTGGCTATAGTAAATTTTTAGTTATTTCTGTTCTGTATAATTGAATTGAATTAATAATTTGATGTTCAGTGATTCCAATCAATGGAGAGAAAATCTTCAATCAATGGCTAAGATGAGACCATTTTTAAACAATGACTTATAATGGAAAAACTGAAATCAACGGCTAAGGAGTGACCAACTTTAATCAATGACAAAGAAGAGACAAACTACTATCCTAGGCTAAGTCCCGAATCAAACTTAGATTAATGGCTAAGAACAGATCAAATTAGCAAAATCTAATTGTCGTCAATCATCATCAATGTAGAGGTACTAGTTAAATTACCTGTTAAAGTCCCCGTCAAAGGTTGACTTTGTTCCGCATTGCAATTCCGATCCCAGGTTCCAAAGTCGTAAGGCATTGCGTATATTTTATGACAATATTATAATTCAAGACAAGACGATTCAAGTCGAAAGGAGACGAACGCCTGGGAACAATCTTCCTTATCGATGTGGGTACAAACTGTCGATCGTGAGCTGAACGAGCGGCCGAGAAGTCGACACTCGAGTCACTGACACTCGTGACGATGGAGACCAGCAAACGCACCTGGTGGGTTGGGGTAAATGACTGGCTGTATCCTTGTCGTTAAGTGAAGACTGATTCATTGTTGCGCAATAATATATTTTTTCTTATTGAGTTACTGTTATCAATAGGAGACTTTTTTATCTACACAGATGGCAGAGCAGCAATTGGAAAAGGGAAATTGACAGCTGCAAGAGATTTCGTACTTGCCACGAACTCATATTGTGTGGGAGATAACTGAATTTGAATACTTACTTTTAGATTATCTTTATCATTTTTAGATTCGAAAATTTATGTTAACTTACATGTTTAACTAATGATAATCCTTACCTTCTCCATTAACCAACTTCTTATTAACTCGAAATGAGATTCGGAGTATGGAGCAATCAGAACAAAAAAATTAGATCAGTACTCACTGCAGCGATTGACAGAGAGCGCATTGTCTCTCCGTCCATCCGTCACGGACGGACGGACGGACATGATGAGCCCAATAGCGCCTTTTTTCCATAAATGAGAAAATGCGATAAAAAGATAGTAATTTATTTAAATTAAATAATTTCTCTCATGATAATATCTGTGTGAATGTACAAATCTTTCAATTGAATTTAATCTATTTTGGCGTCTAAACGAAAGATTAGTTATTACTTACGCAACAATTCTGTTTCTGATTTTTTCAAATTTGCTCAATTATTCTCATCTCAGGACATTCGATGGGGCTAAATAATTCACCGCTTTGTGATAAGGTTCAATGAACTGCTTCATTCACTCCTGTATACTCGTGGGCAGCAGTACGTTTACATGACGTGGAACGATTAACATGCTTCGTATCAATCACTTCCACATTGATACGGCTATAATGAACAGCATGTTCATATAAAGTACGAAATTTAATATTTGCTATAACAAGCTATACAGTATAGTGTCGGATCAATGAAGTTAACATCCAAAAACGAACAACGATAATGGTAGTGCGTAGTTACTCAATTTATTATTGCGCACGATGTGTTCTAGATTGACGAATCTAGATAGAATCTAGATTGACGAAGGCATATGTCTGCATGAAAATTTTCACATTAACACTGAGTTAATATTATTCGCATTAATGAATACTCACAAAATAGGGCCATTTTAGATAAAGTATATGCTGTATATCAAACAGAAACGCTGCACTTTGCGCGAGTCCCATGATAAGANAATCAGTAACTCGGCAAAGGTTGTGCACAACAAAATAAAACCATTAGTTATACACGAGAAAAATGTGGCGCAAAATCAAGAACAATGGGAACAGTTAGGACGGCGGAAAACTTCATGAGATACGTAAACATTTAAAGTAGCTGCTTTTGAGAGATGCGCCTCTGTCTTATATAAACAGAGTAAGCTCTACTTCTTCGTTGGAATTTTAAAGTAGCCAGGTTGGGAAGTTTTCCCAACAGTTTATTTATCCAACTCAGGTTTTTTTAGGAACTTTAATCATCACTTCTTGTAAAATAAGCATTTGCTTCATCTAATGATTTAAGTTAACTTATCAGTTATCAGAAATTTCCAAACTGTTGAATTAAGATATTTTGGCAAAGTTAATGTTAATGTTATTTCAGCCCCAAAAATATTTATGTCACCGGAATTTAAAAGTAACAAAGTATACAACATAACTGAACAATAGATTTAATTATCGTATAATGTGCTAATCAAACCTACAAATCGTTGATATGATAGATATAACAGTTTTCATGATTAATGGTGTGTTCAATACAGTATCTGCAAAACCGCGTCTGATGTGTGTGTACGGTAGCTCATTAAATCTTATTCTATGTATATTGTTCCACTTGTGTTACTTATATAGGATAACAAAAGGAATTGAAAATTCATCAATATGCATATGACTCTTCGTTTGTTTTCTCAGTTTCATTTTATTGCATTATTCTCTGCCTCAATAAATTGCACCAAAACGAAGACTTTACTGGACAATTGATTCTTCTTACTTTCTTTCACAAACTCCATAATCCAATTGTTTAAGCTTTATTTATTTTTTTTTATACCTGGCACTATGCACAACAGCTGTATACGATAATGTGCCATAAACGTTATTTCTAACTGTGAGCAACGATAGCTGCTCAATTTAAAATCTCAACGTTATTATTGCTCTATTTAGTGGAGCCTGTATTAGTAGTAATATTTCTTAGAAAACAATTTCTTTCAAGAGGGTAAACCGGATCCTGTTATATATTTTCCATTTACATTATCTATAGTGATAAAAGAAATATTCTGAATGAATCTCCTTCCACTGAAGATAAATAAATCAGCTAATTTTGGCCATATTTTAATAACATTATAATTTTGAACGTTTGGTTGTAATTAACCTTAGTAATTACCCTACTTTTCTTGCAGCGTCCTTATCGGACTTTGAAATAACTTCATTCGTGCAGCACAACCATCTGTTAAATTGTAATATTATTAGTTTTTCGGTAAAGAATCGCTTACTTTCCTGGATTCTTTAATCATTTTTGAAACTACTGTTCATGTCAGATATATCGATTGAGATTTAAAAAAACGGGTTTTGCTGGTCATCCCCGACGGAAGTCTAGGGAGGTTTGCACGCAGCTAGGACTGTCTGGCAGTTGCCTTTTGTTGCGTACAAGCAGAAGGTCAATTTTTCCTGAGTGTGGGACTCCTAACATCTTTTTAGGCAAGACCCAGATAATCATAGATTAAATAATGGATTCACTGTAACTTAATCGAAGAATAGTTGAATATTTGAAGGATATGAAATATTCGTTTAGATATATTTTGACCTTGAATATGGTTTGGGAAATTGTTCTTCCTTTATTGTTTGGGGTTCTGACATCAAGCGCGGCAGTTCAACCCGTGGATGGTCAAAATTCAGGCAGGTGCAACCGAAATTAACATTGATAAAACTGTTGTGAATATTTGATTAAGGGTTTCAATTGGCTATTCATCTATTAGTTCAAGTTCTCTACACTTTATCCAAATCTTAGCAGTGTACTGCAAGTGTGATAAATCCAACTTCTTAATTTCAATTTTTCTTCTCACAATAGCACCATTCACATGAAATTGTACCTATATTGAAGGTACTGATAAAGTAAATATTTTACTTCATTATGTCATTCTATAAGAAGAACAATCCTTTTAAAGCTGCGTACGGATACTTAATTTTTTTCTATCAAACCAATCACACGGGAAGTTCTATGCATTGTTTCCCAGATAAGAGTGAAGTGAAAATTTTGTAATAATATAATTAAATATTATAGTTCATTATTAACTACTGCCACGCTATGTGGCAGGAGTCGGATGTTTACTGCTCCGTGCACTTTTGAACAACATCCTGTGGCATGACCGATGACCTTCAAAAAAATTTTTTTTGCGTAGCACCGACTGCCACTTAATTCTGGAAACAAACGCATAAATTGAAGACTAATAGCACATTAGCAATTGATTTTTTTAATTGGACCATAGCACTTTAGTAGAATAGGAATGGAATGGGATGCATGTGAGAGAATAGATCATAGATTTCTGATTCCGCTAATGATCCCACCACTGATATTAACAAAGGATCATTTCTGATTCACTAGCAAGACAAATTTTATAAAGACTAAAGATGGTAAAAAATTTCGAAATCATTTGGTCAAATGGTTCCCTAGATTTGGCCCAGAGGAATTTTTCAGCTTAGGATTACATCAAGACCCACCAAAAACCAAATTTTCTGTCACACCCTAAGTAACATAACACCATGCCATCTTTTTGCAACAGCAGACAAATGTTCGACGTACGGGCTGTGCGATCAAGTTTGTTTTGGCACACAAAATTCGTATTCGTGCTTCTGCGTGTGGGGCTACCGAAGAGACCGCGCCAACGAAGTGTGCCGCGCAGCAAATCTGTTCGGCCCCTTACAGCTGCTCTACGTTGGTGACGATGAAATCATAATGGTCAGTATTCACAATAAAAATGAAATGGAAGTTGTTGTTGGAATTTTGGGACTTTTAAATAAAAAATTTTGAATTTCCGAATGAGTACTTTTAAATGTAATAAATGTATTCAAATAAAAATAAAACACTACGATTCATTTCCAGGCAACACGGTATTTTTAACTGTTTAGAAAACTGTCTTTCGTACGTGTGAGCTTTTTCAATTTATTTTATTTTTCCCTAAATATAAGAGATACCGTGCTATGTGTATTTAAAAAGTTATATAGCTAGCTGCGCTCGTATTATGTATTAATAAGAGACGTGAAAATCCATGAAATAGAATTTATAAGTGTTATCGTTCTGATATTGCAAATAAATGTGTTGTTTATTCTCTCGTATTATGTATTAATAAGAGACGTGAAAATCCATGAAATAGAATTTATAAGTGTTATCGCACTGATATTGCAAATAAATGTGTTGTTTATTCAAAATAATTATATGGCAATGAAAGTTGTTTGTTGTGAAATCAGTGATTAATTTTAATTTACTAAAAACTTAAAAGCAAAGAAATCTCCAAAAAAATTCATAATATCTGTAAAGAAACGTTTTCTCTCTTATAAAAAAACGTTTTCTTTAAAGATACCATGAATTTTTGTGGAGTTTTCTTTTATTTTAAGTTTTTAGGGAATTTGCGACTCAAGCAAACGAGTGACATTATTACTTAATTGTTAATAAATGTGTTGATAAATAATCTAATAATGTGTTGATTATTCAAAATAATTATATGGCAATGAAAGTTTTTTGTTGTGAAACAAGTGATTAACTTTAATTTACTAAAAACTTAAAAGCAAGAAAACGCCACAAAAATGTCTTCTTCAAAAATTGTTTCTTTCTTATAAAGAAACGTTTTCTTTAAAGATACTATGAATTTTTGTGGAGTTTTCTTTGCTTTTAAGTTTTTAGTGAATTTGCGATTCATGCAAACGAGTGACCTTATTACTTAATTCAAGTCATTTCAGATTTATTGAGTAATTTATACCATTAAATTTTTACTAATAAATATGATTCAGCCTATGAAAAGTTTAAGTGACAGAAAATGCGAATTATATTATAAGACATTTTATTATATTTTATTTATATTGCCTATTACTCAATTGCTTTATCTCATTTTCTTAGCTCACCCTATCAATTGTTCGACGAGGAAAAAAAAATTCAATAGTTTTCTCATGAAACTCGATTATTTGATAAAGCAGTATTTTTTTAAATTTTATGTAGTTGCAAGAAAGTCAAACAGCAGTATAGTTAAAGAATTGCAATTAATTTGCAAAAAATGCCAGAAGATTTTTAGTCCGTTCTCTAGCAGACGGCTGGTGCTGGCGAGAGTGAAGCGAGGGTCGTTGCAAAAGGCAACTCTGTAGGAGGCCTGGATTACCTTTTTGCGGAAGACAAGATCATTTGGACGGGCCGTGACATGAGAGAGGTGAGGCAACGTACTATACGGTAACAGAAATATAAAGATAAAATAAATAAAAGTAATAAAATTACTTGTCCAAAATAGGAAAAGTGATATGAAACAAATCACTGAAACACTTATTGTTTTTTTCATATTCTAAAAGTTCAACTTAAACTAAGAAAGTCTGATTTAGTTCAAAATGTTGAGGTTATTCATATGCTCATATAATGTTACTGTCACGATAACGCATGTATGATGTAATCCGGTCGTACATCAATATGATATCAACTTGTATTCAATTTTCTAAACTAACCTCTTCTCAACATTGAAACAAAGCTGAGGTGTAGCGTTGATAGAAAGACGCTGATTCAAATTTCATTAAGGACTAGAATTCAAAACGAATACAACTTCGTGAACGGACATTGTTTCAACGTTGATTTAACCAGGAAATGCTTGCTAGGTTTAATCGTAAACGATAATGTATCATGGAACCGGCTTAATATAAGTGAATTAGTTTATTTGTATTTCTATAAAAGTTTTTTGCTTGTAAATTTAGCACTCATATCTTTCTTTGCAGACAATAACTCATTTCATATCTCGGATACAGAAATTTCATTTATGCTCAGTCTGACCGAAAAAATCTCGGCATTACAGTTCAGTCAGTCGGACATTAAAAACTCGAGTACCACTGCAACAAAGTTTTTAGATAGTTTTTTACTCTTTTAATCAGTCATTTGTGTTTATCTTCTTATTTTAAAGGGCATTACGTTTATAATAGTTATTGGTATGATTGAAACAAGTGTTCCTCTTCCGGATCATCACAAATAAATTTGCAGCCTTGTTTCGATAAGGTTTCCTTAGATACAATGTTTTCAACGTTATCACCTCAAACTTTTTTCATATTGATAATATTTTTCAATGCCTATGTGAATTATGTTCTGTGGCCTTGACTTACAGGTGTACGCTGAGAGCCTACGAGTTCACCCTAACACAACCAGAGACGTTATACTAACCTTGCCGGCCTACGTATCACCAGTTGCCATCGCCGTAGACTGGGTCAACTTCAAGCTCTTCGTCGTCGACAAACCTGGTTTGAAAATTGACTTGTTCGATCTAAGAGATCAGAAACGTACCATTTTGCTTTGGCGGAAAATCAAAAGTCCGCTGGATATTGCCTTGGATCCTATGAAAAGGTGCGAGTATAACGAACTGACATAGGTGCATGTTTGGTCATATTAGTATAGGTTGGCAGAATTTGTTCCTTTTAGCAGGTTTCATTGAAAACCAGAGAATTTTTTTTACAATTTTATTATTTTTTTTTAATATATCGAACAATTTTTTTCGTTTGCACTGGTAAATCGGTAAATCGAAAATCAGGGTACTGATAGACATATTTAACACGTTAACAACGTTTCGAATGTATCAATCGTTCATTATCAGGGTACAAGACGCATTGAGTGATGAAATTTTGACCGACATAAGAATAAAATCACGTAAATAGGATACTATTCAGAAACATATCAGAAACATAATTTGATTAGAAATAACTACTAAATCACGAACATATGAAGATGATCAAGAATTAAAGCACAAAAAATTACTCCGAAAACAGTCTCAAGGTTCTGGACAAATACAGTAGTTTGCAGGTTGCTGGCTGGAGTCCTATCATTAATGATGAGGGCCTCAGCTATCGCGAGTCGGTTCCAGACTGAAGGTGGCACGTGAAACGCCGGCTTAAATGTCGTAGTTGTGAGCCCGATGTAGTACGTATTAGGAAGAATTCTACAACAAAATTAAATTTAGATAAAAAACTGCGACATTCTTTTCCTTGACTCTAAATTCTGTCCCATCGCACGAGACCCAAATGAACAACTGCGCAGGAAAGCTAACAAACTGATCATGCAGTACGACCAACTCCGTTGTAATTATAAGCTCTATATAAGAATGATCACACCTATCGTCGGGGGTTGCTTTCCCGGTTACCTATACGGAAACGTTAAAAATCCACAAAGAAGGCACCCCCGGTCAGACCTATTATTTCACAAGTCACGTCTCCAATGTAAAAATATAGCCAAAGAACTGCATATCATAATAGAACCGTACATATATTCGAAAGCAATTCTCCGTGAAATTTAGAGGCTAAATTTTCGGAGGTCTTCCGTGCTGCACGCCCATCTGGCCTTCTTACGTCACTTTATTTTACCGACAACCAATGTAGTAGACATGGGCAGTCAGTCCCCTTGGTCCTACTTTTGCTTTACTATATGTGACAAAATAAAAAATCGGTCACTTTCAGATGAAAAGATTAAGCCCGAATTGTACTGCAGGTACAGGTATGTCGGTAGTATCCTATTTACATAATTTTGTCTTTATACCGATCAAAATTTCATCACTCAATGCGTCTTGGAACCTGATAATGAACGATGGATATATTTGAAACGTATTTAGCGAATTAAAAATGTCCATCAGTACCCTGATTTTTTATTTACCAGTGCAAACGAAAAAAAGTTCAATGTATTGAAAAAACAAATTGTTAATACAAAAAATTGTCAATAAAATAAATACCCTGATCTTTAATGAAACCTGCTAAAAGCTTGTCCATATATATACATCTGAGGCAAAAACATAATTTTGATTTTCACTTCACTTGACTTCAAATGAACATATTCAAATATCAGATATTTATTCTACATTATCCTAAAATTATACGCTGTATAAATGAAATTTAGGTTCCTGTTTGTGGCCGCTGGCAACGCCGTCGTTCGTGCTGACATGGACGGTCAAAACGCAGTAGAGATCGCGAGCAACTCGCCCGCGGCCCCCGTCTCAGGTGTCACCGTGGACCTCATCCTACGACGCGTCTTCTGGAGCTCTGCGGCGCGTGGCACCATCGAATCCGTGGCCTACGATGGATCACAAAGAATATTAATTTTTAAAGGTACTCTTTATATTAACGATAGAACATAACTTTTCTAGGTTATATTGGTTATATTTAAGTAGAACATTTATTTTTTACGTATAAAATTTATTTCCTGGGAAGAACAAGTCCTTCGGGCTCGTCGGTCACAGTAATTGAAGGTAGGTACAAATATTATATAAAAATTTAACGTATTTGAAACAAAATGGTCTAATACAAAATGGTATTAGACCATGTATAGATACCGAGAATATTTAACTATGATAAGAGTCAATAAGCGTCGCAAGTTTCCTCATCTCAAATTGTTAAAACAAGAACAAGATTTATAAAAATTGAAAGTTGGACAATGTTGTGTTTCACTGCAGGTGAAAAAGTCTCATTTGCGCCTACCTACTCGGCGATGTTCGAGAGGCGGATATTCTGGACGGATGCGTCGAGGAAAGCTATTTTGAGCACCGACAGGTTCAGCGGGAACGGCTCAGTGGAACAAGTGGGTCAGTGGGACCCAGAAGGTGATCCCCCTCAGCATCTTCACTGCGTCCACCCCCTTCTGCAGCCTGAGGGTAATGAGGCTGGTCATTGCTCAGGCAATTAATTATTTTCTAATGATTATTATTGTATTTTGATTGAATAGTATATATATATTATATTTTATACATTTATTATTCAGTGATGGGGACTCTTCCACCCATTGAACGTTATGCATGATGTTATTCATGATTAACTGCAGTTTTATTTATTTATTTAGCTCATGTAAACGCGCATCTAAGTACACGATTATAACATAATAGATCATAGAACTTCAAATTAATTCACAGGTTAGTTGATTTTCTTGTTCTCTATAGCAGTGTTTGCTACAAAACATTTTTCTCATGTTTCAATAACTGAATCATTTCATCTGTGTAGAATGTTTATGTTAATTTAATCATAACGTGAAATTCAACTTTACTCAAACCTTCACTGCACCTATTTATTAAGAAAATATTTATGTCATCGATATAGATAATATTTATTTAAATGATTTCAGTTCGAAATATTACACCTTCCAGAGCCAAATCCGAAATTAATTAATGCATTTGAGCTTTCTATGCAATATTTCAGAATTACTTGTAATCCTTTTATAGTAAATCAATTGCTGCACGAGTATATCTACTTCAATTAATTTATAAAATACAGAAAATATGCCTCCTTGTGTTCTCAAGCTAGAACCATTGCATGATTATTAGTCACAGTAAATAAATCCTCATTCTCAATTCTCCTATAAATTTCATCGATGTTTTTATCGGCTTGGGCAGCTATCAATCCTTGTCGCCATGGCAACGGCGGTTGTGAACATCTATGCTTGTTGTCTCGGGAGGACGCCGGCTACCGCTGTGCCTGTGACGTCACCTTCGTTTTGGCGGCTGACAACAGGTCCTGCAATTGTGAGTACAGCAACTTGAAAATCTGCCTCTGAATCTTGTCGTGACATTGTCAAGAGTATATGTGCTAAATATATCCTAAACAAAACGTACGTATCAACAAATAAGTCAACAATTTGAATGTTCATATTGGGCGATGGAAAAATGTGTTCAGATATGTATATTCGATATCTCTAGGGAAATGAACACTATACAAAACACGAGGAAATTTAATAACTAAAAATGTAAGCAGATGTNTACATTCCTCATTAGTTGTACCTTTAAACAAAACAGAGAAGCACCTCGTATCAATTAAAACTTCATCAAAATTTTAGTTTAAAAAAAGGGGGGGCGCTGCCCCATGTTGCCCTATAACATTAGACCAACGAATTATGTACGAATGATCAATAAAGAATCATGTGACCAATAATGATCCGCCAATTAATCCTGTGAGGAATGATGATTAACGAATCATGTGACTGATTATTATCAATTAATTATGTCAGGTTTAAAAATTTGTGTGTTGCTTGTTGAATGCTACAGGCGAGCAGGTTCAGTTGTCAACATCGGGGCGCACTGTGGAGACGCTGGCGCTGGACTGGGTGGCCCAGAATCTGTATTTCGCTGACTCCTTGCTGGATGAAATCTGCGTGACTAAAACGTCACTGCAGACCGACATTAAAACGCTGTTCAGAAACCTATCCAACCCTCGAGGCATCGCTTTGCATCCGAATAAAGGGTGAACTATCTGCCTTGAGTTCGAGACAGCTGCCAGAAAATGAAAAAAAAGTTCTATCATAGTAAAAACTGGTGGAATACATTGTGAAAAATTTTATGCTGTCGGAGCCTGCAAAGTGTTGTTCTTTTATTTCTGAAGAACAAATTTATTACACATTTAGTATATGTCTTCCTAATATCTATCGATAGCAATTTCCGAAAGAGACTTGTGGTTTTTGGAAATTAATTTGTATTAATTTTCCAGGTTCTTTTACTTTACCGAGTGGGGAGGTCGCCCAGGCATCAGCCGAGCCAACCTGGACGGAACAGAGTTGATGGCCCTGCCGGGTCCGCTGCTGCAATGGCCCAACGCTGTGGCCGTAGACCTGACCAACGACCTGGTCTACTGGTGCGACGCCAGGCTCGACATCATCCAATATGCAAACCTGGACGGATCCAACGTTCGCACTATCAGAAATGGTGTCTTGAAGCATACTTTTGCTCTTTCAGTTTATGGAGGTAAGACATATTTTTTGAGTAGAATATGCTTTATTTTGGACGTATGGAATTTAAAGCATCTGTTGGTTTAGCAATGATTTACTGCGTTTAGAGGAATTCTATTACATGGCCCAGTGGTTACAGTACAGAGTATCGGGATTGGAGCAGTGAACTGTATGTTCGATCCCAGCTTACTGCGAGAGTTCTGATCAAATCGGCAATGTGGGTGGTTAAGCGACTCAAAATTGGAGCAGTGAGTTGCGTGTTCGAGACCGCAACAAGCTGTGAATATTTGATGATATTAAGAATAGGCGACAGGTCTAACGGGATTATCAACGCTGACACCGCTATACAATGCTATATGACACCATCTTGCATTTTTAACATATATTTGAAGCTCAACCGATTCAAATATTAATTCCCAAACACCTCCTAAGAAATCAAACACACGTTTCGTTTTTATAGCATATACAATCTTCTTTCTATCAATTTGCTAAATTCAACTCAATAGTTTATCAAGCTTGTGCAGATTCCATGTGATATTGGTTCCATGTTTAATTTTTAATTGCTTGTTTAATCTTCATTCATCATAGGTACTAGTAGTCGAGTAACATCAAATTAACCGTATGTCATTTAATTTTGACGCGTAGTCTACATTTTATAAAAATCCACATCAATTCAATTTCATGTATTTCAGATGTAAATTTATTATTTTATTGAGTATCTAGGAAGTACTTTATGTTTTCGTTTGGAAATGTCGCATACTAATTACAGTGCTAAGTCAGAAAAAGGCATTTTCTATAAGTTCGCTTGTAGCTGTATTCGACACATCCCTCAACATGGGTGGTGATTTTTTTTTTACTCTTCATTTATTGTAGGCTATATGTTAACTCATACTGCGATTATTAAATGAATGAGTTACGGTTCANTGATTTAAAAGAACACAATAACGGCATCTATTTAAAAATAAATAGAAATTTCAGTAATAAAAGCTCGGTGATCTATTTTGCGGCTCAGTACATCATCTAAAAATAAGTTCAAGATAGGGCGAAGTTCCCACGTACGGGATCGCTTCTTAAGATTGATGTTGAGCTGGTCCATGAGTTGGAAGAGCCTACTTGCCATCTGACTAGCATTGACAAAAATATTCATATAAATTTCGACTACAAACGATGGGGATAGATATATATAGAACTAACACGATAGGTCTCTTCACCAATACCCACCTTCTCGGTCGTCCAAAATTCGAAATCGATCAGGATTTCTTACATGTAAATGATGTAACTTATCATACGATCATTTTCCCCCTTATACTTCCTACCCAAGGTATGTATATGACAAAATTCTAAACGTTTTCTGAAAAATCTCATATCTTGAACATACGTTTCGTACAGGATGTTTGGGCCCCTTTTTTATTCCTTTCGTTGTGGATACATTTGCCGCCATCAATGCTATTCGTACCTAGTGGTTTGGGACCGAGAAGTCTCGTTAGTCACAAGTGGGTTAAATAGAATTTTTTTACTTTGCAGATTGGCTGTACGCAAGTGACTGGACAACTCGGAGCATTTTTCGTTTGGAAATAAAAAATGAGAGCGTGGTGAGCGTCTCAAGTTTAGAATCTATAAAATTTGGAAGACACTTTGGGGTAAAAGTTCACAGTCGCAAAGTTCAACCTATTGATGATATGAACCCATGTCGTTATGGTCACCATAGTTGCGAAAAGTTCTGCTTCACTGTTCCTGACGTCACCTTTGGAAGAGTTCGGGCGCAATGCGGATGCTCAGATTACGAAAGATTACATTTAATTTCGGGAACTTGTGTTAAGCTCCCGCCCAACGAATTAAAATGTTCACCACTGGAATTCACCTGCCATAACAAATTTTGTATTCCAATGGATTCTCTGTGCGACGGTAAAGAAGATTGTTCCGATGGTAGTGATGAAAGAGAAATAACTTGTAAAGCAAGGACTTGCAAAGCTGATGAATTCAAATGTGATGAGGGCGCTTGTATCTCGATAACCAAAGTGTGTGATGGCAAAGCGGACTGTCAAAGTGTCAGCGATGAGAGGCAGAACTGTCAAGCCCGAGTTCAATGCCTCCCAACGCAATTTCTATGTGACGACAACTCTTGCTTGCCACGGACAAAAGTGTGTGATGGTAACCGCGACTGTCTCGACGGAACAGACGAACGCCAAAACTGTCAAGAAAAATCGTGTTCGACGAAAGAGTTCAGATGCGATGACGGCCAATGTATCCCAACGCAGTGGGTTTGTGACCGAGACGAAGACTGCGTTCGTGGCACCGATGAACGCGGGTGTCCCATACCGACCACCTCTTGATAGTCAGCAACGAGAGAAAGAAGCAACAAAGCTGTTTCAACAATTTATATAGATTAATAGCAACATATTAGAGGAATTCTCACTAGAGCTACTTTCAATTTGGATCCATTTTTAATTATATAGAAACAAATGCATCATTAAATTTTTCTTAGGATACATGGAGCTTATTTATTTAGCCTTCGCTACAGTCAATGACAACAAAAAATAAGGTCCATAAATATAGTGAATTTACTTTTGTGAAATATATTTTTATGTTTATTCTGAATTGATCTTTACGTTGACTAGAAGGCTCATGGATAAAATGTAAATGATAGGGCTATTTTAGAAGAAAAACATTGAATACGAGATCAGTATGGCAGGATTAACAAATAAATAACGCAAAAATTGTAATTCAGATTTTATGTTGCATTTTTTATGCGTAAAATTTCATGTATTGTATTCTTATAATAATTTAATCAAATTAATATTAATTACTTAATTCGATTACCTTTTAAAAGAATTTACTATTAACAACTTCTACATTGTTATTTTGACATGTTATTCATAATTTTAGTACATTACCAAGACTCGTTTTATGTATTAACCAAAAAATAAATACATGGCTAAATTTCTCAAAAAATTTTCATCACATTCTCGCTGTAGGCTACACGATCGACGAAACCCATCAGTCAATTAACAGTGTTGGTGAATAGCGAAATCCGAAGTGATTTTTTTTCTCTAGTTTGAACGCGCATTTTATAATATTTTGCACTTGTTCGCTGCAACGCTTCAGATCTTTTGTAAAAGTGAGAATTTGTAATTTTTTGTGTATATTAAAAGTGTTCTTTTCTAACTATGTCTCACTGGCCTCTCTTATATTGTAGGTAAGGCTGAGGTTGCGATAGTGAAAAATACTCCCAATTTCGTTATTCATTTGGCTAGAATTGACTGTCATGATTCAACACTAGAGTTTTTCAGTACTCGCCCTTTTTGGTTTGATTTTAGAGACCGATTCTACGTATAACTTCTGATCAAATTATTATTGATTGCCGCTAACTTGAATTAAATTCAGCTATGACCAGGGTATTGTTTCCTTTTCCTGGACGCAATGGATTTACCCACGCCTTACGGGCAGTAATCAAGGACAGGAAAAAAATCTGATTCTCGCGCAAGGGTATCCACTTTTGTTAGGTGGCTAGAGTATAGGGCTAGTTTGTTCCAGTCACACTGATGTGGTCTGGTAGTAGGTGAGTTTCATTCGAGCTGTGCCACAGCAGAAGTCAGACATCCGTTAAACGTACTTTTATAGAAGAGCGTAATATTTTCAACAATGTGTGGCGTTAGTGGAAGTTCCTATACCTTTCGGAAACGATATCAGATTTTAGCATTTCTATAACGGTACCTCAGTACCTGTAAATATCGTGATTATAGATTCATTCAAGGATTCCCCGTGTTAAATTATTGTACGGTATTGAAGTTAACAGCTAATTGAAACTATTTTTTGATTCTCAAGATGAACTGGACACGTGTTCTATCAATATCGTGTCTTTTGTTGGCATCCGGTTTTAAAATTCGAACAGTGGATGGAAAAAATTCAGGTGAGATCAATCGAAACCAGGAAAAATGAAAGAATGCACAAAAATTATTTGAACCGCACGTATTTAGTTCTATTTTATTTGTTTTCCGTTTCATTTTATTGCCGATTAATTTAAAAAAATGGGGGCCAAGCGAGCTTCATTTCTAATTATTGTTTTTTATTTGAAAATATTGAATTATTCGTTTTGGAAGTAATATTTTTGACAAATTTATGCACGCCGGTTAGAAATTTTCGATCAAGAGAAAATTTTGAAACACATACTCCACAATATACTAATGAAAATCTGCCTAAGGATCGAATGATTATAGATGCGTAAGAATACTATCAATTAATAACCGAAGTTGAACAGATAATATATATCAACGAATTATACTTTACAGTAAATGAAGACAATATCGAATAAGTTTTCCATGTCAAAGTTTCCTGCTCTTTCGTTCAAGTTTTATCCTCAAGGCCGTTCGTGCCAGTTTTCAAGCAAATTTGTTTATAATCTTCTTAATAACTGATGACAAGAAATTTGCCACATGCTTATAGAACTTTGATTATATTTTATAACTATTCAATATGACACAATTTTCTGTGCCGTTTCAATTACGGATGTTCGTTATCAGCTCTCTACTTTCTGACGATTCATGAATAAACGTAGGTATCAAGATCCCTTGGCAGCTAGCTTAGATCGCAACTTCAAAGAGAATTTTAAACAAATAAAACTAGTAAAAAATTCACCATTTCTTTAAAAGCAAAAACTTTCCATATTCTGAAATTATTAAATAAACAAAACTATAGGTTGTGGGTTGAGGCCGCTGTCTCGCACCGGTCGTATCGTGAACGGCGAGGAGGCGGCGCTGGGAGCTTGGCCATGGCAGGTGCTCGTGAGAGGGACGACGTTGTTCGGACTCTTCACTAAACAGACCTGCGGAGGAGTGCTGCTAAACGAGCGCTATGTCATCACAGCAGCTCACTGTCAGCCGCGGTTTGTCGAGTCTTAATCTTAATTCCATTAAAAGTCTATGGTTTAACAGGCGTGAGTGTTCGGAAATTTGTAAAATTATGAAATATCCTCTACGAATGTAATCTGTATGTCATGAAGGTTATATGAACATTAATACAATGATGT